TGGACACTTTCTGTAATGAACAGGAGATTGCTAACTGCAGGGAAGAGCTGCATTCACACGCGTGTCAGTTCTATGCGTTTTGTTTTCAGTTGTCACACTGGAGAGGTAAAGGAAAAATTGGAACTGTGTAACGTGTTTGATTATTTTATTTATGTATTTATGTATTTAATTAAACATATTTGTTTTCCTATGAGGCCGTAAAAACGGTCGTGCACATAGAAATACAAAGACAAACATAAATACATTTAATGTCAACTTGGTAAATAAGTTATTATAGAAGAATGTTGCCTGTATGTAAGCGAAAACTGAAGACGGGCTAAATTTAAAACCGCTAAGTACTGATATCTTTTCGGCCCTCCTCGGAGACTGATGGGTTTGAATAATTTTGGTCAATCAATATAGCACAGAACAAAGTTTGCCTAGTTGTTTCACCAGTGTTCTCTTTATTTCTTAGCTATAATAGAATACCATATTTACCATATGAAGTGGTGATAAGTGTTGAGCATTTGGAGATCTGTTGTCAGTTGTTATTAAAATCAAAATTAATTCATATTAACGATATGCATTCTCAATTCTCCCATGTGACATCATATATTAAGACAACTATTGCAAGTAATTAAACTGAATACAGGGAGGTTAGATTTATGTTTTTAAAAGATTGTTAGTGCTAAAGTTCATTTAGGAGCGTTGAATTAAATCCCTTGCTCTAGCAAGGCTCATTTAAATTATTGGATTAATTTTTACTTTAAATCTGAGCATGCTGGGAAGTAAGATATTTGCCTTTTTATTTTGTTTTCCTCTTAAAACTGATTGCAAAGCCAAAATAAAATGTAACATGGGATTGTTGTTTGGGAGGTTGAAGCTGTAACTCAAGGAAAGCGAAATAAAGTTTAATGGTTCAGGTGAATAGACATGTTTGGCAATTATTTTCCGTCACAGGCATTCAATTCTTTGTTGTAAACTTTACACACCATACAATGAAAGTACAAAAATATTATCTATGGCTTTTATTAGGCATTTGAGATGCTCAATAGTTTGGATTAATTAGACAAACCGAAAGCCTTTTGAAGATTAAGCAAATTGGACAACCCTTGTTAATTAGAACATAATTTAAAGTTTGAAATTATATCACTCACGAAGTAGCCTAATTAGTATGACGATATGTTAATAGCCTGCTGAGACACTAAGCACGGAGGTTTGGCATGAACTCCTTAAAGGCTTGCAAGAAAATTCTCCTTCCTATGTTGTCATTAATAAAAGATTTCTATAGACTTCAGCCTTTCAACGGTGACATACAATTTATAGTACACACAATGCATTAGCCCATAGTGCTGTTCAATTTTTTTACTATTATGAAAACTAATAAATTCGTCAAGCTGAATTAAGCATACAAATCAGATGAGGCATAACAGATTACATATTGAAGCGCTGTGTCTCCCGAGCCTAAATGAAATTTCAATCTAATAATTCCTTCCTGGCCCGGCTATAATTTGTTTAGAGATGTTGTTCTACTTCTTTCCAAGCGCTATTCGCACCATAATTAAATGATACTCAAGCTTTTAACTTTGATTTATTTCATTTCTCTGAGCTGGCGACAGTGAGAGCTGATACAGTGTAATTTTTCTGATTTCCTTTAAAATTACCAAGTCTACTGTTTAGGTGAGAAATTAAACACCTAAGCACTTATGTGAATCTCCTGGTGCAAACAAAAATTCATTGAAATAAAACCGTCCACAGTAAATAAAAGGTTTTATTTATTTATTTTAAAGGGGAGGTAAACGTGAAGTTGGCAGTACAGATGAACTGGTCCGTGGGTTTAAATCCCAAATCCCATTTTGATACAATGGAAAATCCCCAATGTCTCCTGGTGGTATTTGGAGAAGGCAGCAGAGGGACGGTGCAAATAAAGGGATGAGATGCTCCTCACTGCTGGTTTTGGAAATGTAAGGCCAGATCCTGCTCCAATGTGATGCAGTGCTAAAAGTCCTTGTTTCTCCAGAGCAAGTAGCATGGGGCAGTTATGGAGCCTCATGATAAAGGACTGTAACAACATATGGGAAAGTAAAGTGAGAACTCCAGCACCAGCTCTCCGCCTGCTCTACCCGCTTCAGCTCCTGCACCCGCTCCCTCCAGTACCAGCTCGAGCACCTGCTACCTCCAACACCACCATCCCCAGCTCCTGTATGCTCCCCCTCTCTCAGGCACCAGCCCCCTCATGCACCAGTCTCATGCACGAGCCCCCTGATTCTCCAGAACCAGCCCCAGCCACCTCTCCCTCCAACCCCAGCTCCCTCCAGCACCGGCTTCTGCACAGTCTCAGGCGCCCCGAGCGCTCGGCTAAAGCTATCCAGACCGTGGAAATGCTACAAACAAAGGTCTGAGAGAGGGCGGGGGAGGAGGCAGCACCTTGTTTTCAGGGAATATAAGTGCGTCCGCTTTAGAGAGAAGCGGCTGGGCCCAAAGTGCTGCCAAAGTGCCCGCGTGACAGGATAAAAATAGGAACAAGCGGCCGTGGAAATGAAGATAAGTGGAGCTTGTGTCAGCCTGTCTGTGGGGGGGAGGGTGTCCTACTGCATCTGCGCACTGCCATCTCTGGGCACACACACCCCTTTATTGTGGCTAATGAAGAAGAATTGGAATGGAAAGGTTTCAAATGGAGCCACACCAGAGACAACACTCTCTGTCCACCTCCCCCACCTACAGCCATTTTTCCCATCCACATGTGGTAACTCCCCACGCAGCTGCTCTATAGCAGGTTCTCCCACGCACAGCCCATCATTCACACAGCTCCCCCACCGACAGCAGGTTCCCCCACTCATAGCCCATCACCCACAAGTACTCCACACACAGCCCCCCCGTTAGGTCCAGAGACAACACTCTCTGTCCACCTCCCCCACCTACAGCCATTTTTCCCATCCACATGTGGTAACTCCCCACGCAGCTGCTCTATAGCAGGTTCTCCCACGCACAGCCCATCATTCACACAGCTCCCCCACCGACAGCAGGTTCCCCCACTCATAGCCCATCACCCACAAGTACTCCACACACAGCCCCCCCGTTAGGTATTATCAGATCCCCTTCCCACTCTCTCCCATATCAGTTATGCACACACAGTTCCCCCTCTCATCGGGTATCCCCAACCACAGCTCCCCCCCCGAGAGCAGGTACTCTCACACAGCCCCTCCCTTTCAGGTCCTCTACACACTTCCCCACATGAGATACAACCCACCCAGTCCCCCTCAAGTTACTCTCACACAGCTCCCCCACCTCTAACACCTCCCTCCACTCAGGAACCCCATGAACACTGGACACCTCACACCCCATTCACAGACACCCTGCCTGAGCAGGCACTCCAACACCCTCCCCTCCCCACACGCGGTATGTGCACACTCAGATACACCCCCCCCCCCCAAGCCCACCCCCTCCTCCCTTCCAA